ATTTCACAACAAACTAACTGCTTCAACTGATCAGCTGCAGTGAACCAATCCTCAGCTGCACAACCATCATGCGCAGCAGTTGCACGTGTACTTATATGCCATGCATTTACATACACTAACACGATTCACAAACGGGTTTGTTGTTATGGGTGAGAATAGGGATTTTCTTACGAACAGGGTTCATCTACAACAGCAGATCACTCTTGTTCCTCAGATCCTCTTCCCTGTACTCGTAATTTATGTCATTTTCGGCCAAGGCAATCCTTGATATCATCCTAAATAGGCTTTGACAGAAATCCAACAATACTAACTTTTTTTTTAATGAAAGAACGTTTTGTATGAATTTATTAGTGGATCATACAAAACATGTAATAAAGATCTTATTAAAAAAAACTTTCATAAACATAAGTGGAGGAAAAATAGTACGCTCTATTGATGTCGAGGCGTAATGGAACCGATACAACTCAACAAACCAAAATATCCAACCACACTACTTAACACTCAAAGTACTAAACCACCGATTATCGATGGATTAAAATCCAAGAAAACATGCTCATAACAAAGGGAACACAGCCGGGCATCTTCATGCTAAACTCCACATGCAGCCAACCACACCCACTCATAGAACTAATCGAAAGGAAAACCACAAGTTTCAAGTTTGGATAGACCCACAGATCAACCTCTCCGATTAACGAACACTTTTGAATACATCTGACTGAACTTTTCATTCCTAACTCCAGAACCAAAACAATGAACCAGCTTACCATCCCGTAGCATCGGAAAGAAAACATCCTTAAAACGGCAAAGAACCATATAACAACAGCGCATAAAATACTCAAGACTCAAACCATAAAACGCTGCAAGAACCCGAATCCGACCCAAACTCTGCAATCGAATATAAAGCAGTGATCGATTCTTTATTCTAATGTCGGAAAGGCCCAAACTCCCACAAAGCCTAGGTTTACACAAGTTTGTCCAGCTAACCCAATGAATTGTTCTTCCCAACAATACTACTTCCTCTGCCATTCCTGTAATCTGAACTCAATACTAAAGCTAAAATCTTGGTTTGTTTTGGCTCTGACTTCTTTCCCCTCCCTGTTTATGAAGCTGAAGGGTATCAGATAGTATATTTATAGGTAAATGATGTTTAGAGTTGGTAGGTCCTTCTTGCATAATGGTTTTCTGATGAATAAATTTTTTGAAATCAACGAAATGAGTTTTTTTTTTCCCGTAATAAGATTACTATAAAATAAAGATAAATTGTATAAGATATTATCAAATTATATTAACTCACGGGTAAACTACATTAATATTCCCTGAACTTTTTGGACACTTGCATATTGGTCACTTGATTTTTATTCGCCTTCATTAGGTCACTCTGCCTTCGGCTGATGTTAAGAGAAGTCGACTTGCCGCCCTAAAGTTTTCTTCTAAATTGATAGCCGCTAGCTTCATTCCGTGCATAGTCTATACCGTCGTCAGCTTATATTCTTTCGATCGTGATCATTAATAAACACTACATTAATTATATTCAATAATTTTATTATTATTTTTTACAATCGTCAAATCTAAGAGTGTTCACTATTCGATTTTAATCGAATTAATCAATCGAATCGAATTAGTTAGATTAATTCGATCGGTCACCGAATTAATTCGATCGGAGAATGATTAATATTTTTTTTTCAATATTCCGTTAATGGTTAGTTCCGTTAATGTATCCTTTGATTTAGATAGTTACCGTGTGCAATATTTTATAATTAATATTAAAAAAATATATCTTCAAAACATTTTGTAACAGAACTAAAAGGAAAAGCTGGAGAACATGTATAACACAAAGAGCTGACTACTTCCAATGTAAAAACTCCAGAAATTTCAAATGACAGTACCACCCACACAGCTGAGTGGGCTAAAAAGAGAAGGTGAACACAAAACCAACCAGGCAGGCACCCTTTATTTAAAACTATAACAAGCAAAATGCCGGAACTGAAATTACTCGATTCCATAGACTTTCTTCAAATGCAGGACAAATTCATAGACTTTTTCTTTGTCGGGAAGGGACTTGGCCACGCTCTCCTTTTGCATGCACCTCTTAGCCCATGCTATCAGCTTGGGGCACTCCGCTTCAATGCTGAAGTTCCCACACTTCTCGTACGCGTAAAACCAGCTATAAAATGGGATCAAAGCAACATCCACAAATCCGAGATTTTCTCCTCCAAAATAAGCCTTGTCCCCAAGCTCCCCTTCCAACAACTTCAGGCTCTCAATAAATTCTTTCTTTGCCGTTTCCTGTTCTTCTCCCTTTGTCTTCCACACTTTGCTCCCCAGGTCATATATCTGCATTTCATAATTTACAACTCAGCCCATTGAACTAACATGGTAGAGTTTCTACGTACATATAATTCTCAGATCAAATAAAAATAAGAAAAGGCCGTACCTTCTTGTCAACAAAATCAGCCCAGAATCTAGCAATAGCCCTTTTGTAAGGATCAGAGGGGAGCAAAGGAGCTCTATCATTCCAGACCTCGTCGATGTACTGAACCTGGATGAGTGATTCGCAAACGGGTTTGCCATTATGGATGAGAACAGGGATTTTCTTGTGGACAGGGTTCATCTGCAGGAGCAGATCACTCTTGTTCCTCAGATCTTCTTCCCTGTACTCGTATTTTATCCCTTTCTCAGCCAAAGCAATCCTCGTTCTCATCCCAAACATGCTTGGCCAGAAATCCAACAACACCACAGCCCCTTCCATTCTTGCAATCTAAAGACTCAAAAACTCGAGCTAACAAAAGATTGTATTTCCTTTTTATTTTCTTGCTGATTGTGAAGCAAAAGGGCCGACGGCAATGTATTTATAGGCAAAAAATACAATTAGGGTTGGCAGGTCGTAGGTGTTTCTACCAGAGACCGGTAAAAGACAAGTCAAAAATGGTTATATTAGATCTGGAAATCTCGCTTTATTCTAGGGTTATCTATTTGTTTAGTTTGTTGACTTCTAGATTATTAGTGAGGCCAACTGTATTTTCCTTTTGCATCATAATAGACTTAACAAGTAAATATTAATAACGTGTAAAATAAAAAAAATATAAATCGAATGTAATATCAATTTTTTTTAATTAACTAATTACTGATATCTATTCTATTGATCGATTAATTTAAATCGGATGTTATAGAGATAATGATGACCCTTTCAACTCAATTTATTCTATTCAAATCACTAATCTTACTTAAAAAAAAATTAACACCTCATCTTATTAGACTAATTGATTGTTCGTAACATGATAACAAATTATATATACTATATTTGTACATCGCAATATTCTTATATTTCTATAATGTCCATTTCATGCTTTGATGTTTCGTGCTTATGACTCATTTTTTAATAAATATCAAGATAGTTATAGTAACAACAATAACAAAACTCTCTTCCTATATGTAATGGGATAAGAGGGAGGTATGATAGTAAACTGTCCCCAACGCTAGATTGAGAGCAACTTCCGTGAAAGACCTCCGGCAGTCAGAAAATTTAAAATAAAGATAAAATGCAATGCATGTATATATAAATAAATAAATACATAATTGAACAGTCTTCATATGTAGTCTTGATATCAAGATAAAAAAAAATTAACTGACTCTATTTCTATATGTAATGGGATAAGGGACAAGTAGGATAGTAGGCTGCCCCTAACGTCAGGTTCAGAACAGCTTCCGTGGGAGACCTCCAATAATCAGAATTATAAGTTGTTCACCGTAAAACTCGATTCCACGATCACAAGATTAAGAGTTATGCTGAACAGACAATTCTTAATATCAAGATAGTTACAATTAATATTATTACTATTCTAGGGCCATTAGCATATGCCATTCCTACGTCAGTAGCCTGTTTGGTTGACTGAATGATACAGTACGGGCTGCTCTTATATAATTGCATTCGTCATCAGTACCCGTCTGGAGATTTTACCTAATAATATCATTATTATAGAATTTAGGGTAAATTATTAATTTTACCACTTAATTATTTAATCTTTTTACTTTTATTATTGATCTTTTAATTTTATCAATCAATGAAATGACCATCCAGCTCAGTTGATAGAGCACAAGGTTCTTAACCTTGAGGTCGTGAGATCGAGTCCCACGGAGAGGATATTTCATAATTCGGAGGTCTCCTACGGAAGCTGCTCTCAATTTGGTATTGGGGACAACCTACTATCTTACCTCCCCTTTACCCCATACATATGAAAAAAAAGGGACAACCATTTTAATTTTATCAATCACATCATATAATTATTTAATTGTTTCAATTAAATCGTTATTTAACTATTTCATCAAGTCACCGATTATAATTCCTTCACCACGAAAATCAGTCGGTTCATGCGAGTGCTTATTAGTTATTAAACGATATCAAGATAATGTTATAATTATTCTAGGACATTCTATAAGACGATTAGCATATGCCATTCCTTACGTCAGTAGTCTTCAGTGGTAGACTCAATGACAAAGTACGTGTTGCTCTTACGCAATTGCATTCGTCAGCAGTATCAGTAGGCCGATTTTACCTAATAATGTCACCATTAAAAAACATTTTCTAAATCAACGTAGTATTTCTAAGTTTCACTTTTTCCCATACATATAGACTATAGTAAAGGTGTTCATTGTTATCTATATCTTTTAAAAGACATGTTCTACAAAATGCAATTTTATTATATATGTCAATTCTATATATTTCAAAAAAGGTTTTGATATACATACAAAATACGATTGATTATATGTATCTTTTATAAAATTATTTATATTACATGTTGCGACATGGTGAGTGTCCCCCATTATATTGATGCTCTCTTCCAATTAGCCAGGAAAAGACGGACATAAAGAAATTAACAGAGCGTTTGCTTTTCATATCTTATTATATTTTTCATCCATCGGCATAATAAAGACTGTATCGTAAAACTTCTATGATCCTAATATACTGAAATACACATCCTTAAAGTGTATTAAAAACCGTCTTATTTGGATTCAAACTTCTTCTTCAGGTCCATGAGAAAGCAATAGACTTCGTATTGGTCGGGCAGAGACTTGGAAACACTATCCCTTTGCATGCATCTTTTGGTCCAAGCAACCAGCTTTGGGCAGTTTTCAATAATGCTGAAATCCCCACAAGCTTCCAATGCATAGAACCATGAGTAGAATCGGATTAGTGGCACATCTGCGAACCCAAAGCTCTCACCTCCAAAATAAGGCTTCTCTCCCAGCTCTCCTTCAAGCTCCTTAAAGTTCTCAATTATCTCCTTCTTTCCAGCTTCTTGGACCTCGCCTTTTGCTCCCCATACAAGCTTCCCAGTCGGATATATCTGCATATTTTTTCCACATTCAACAAAAATGTGTAAAAATCATATGCTAAAGGGGTAAAGTTTTGACCTTTTTGTCGACATAGTCGGCCCAGAACTTGGCGTTAGCTTTGTCATAAGGATTAGAAGGAAGCAGGTGCTGAGGGGGCTTGTGAGGCCAAACCTCGTCGATGTATTCGAAGATGACGAGGGATTCACAAATGGGTCTGCCCTTATGGATCAACACTGGGATTTGCTTGTAAACTGGATTCATCTTTAGGAGCAGAGTGCTTTTGTTGCTCAAATCCTCTTCCTTCGATTCATACTCTATCCCTTTCTCTGCTAATGCGATTCTCACTCTCATTGCAAACGGACTATGCCAAAAGTCCAGTAGGACAATTTCGTCTGGCATTTTCTTTTCTCTTCTCTCTCTCTCTCGATCGTTCTCCTCTGTGGTGGAACAAGCGAAGAAGAATGGTGTTGGTTTTAAAAAGGCAAATGAATGTTGTAGAAGTCTCCGGGGTACAATTCCAGGGCTTTCTTGGGCTGTTTCTTAGTCACATTGGATCATTTGTAAACTTGGCTACCTTTTGTTTCTTTGGATTTGCGTTGGGTTTTGGTTTGGTAAGGCCTAAATCTTTGACCCAAATTAAGAAATCTATAATGACTAAAATTACCTTTAAATACCCATATTTTTACTTTATGAAAAATTTAGCCCTTAGTAACGACCATAGAATTAACCACTATTGTCTACTCATTTCGCCATCGAATCCACTTGATCGATCATCTTCATTTTTGTCGTACAAATTTTTATACCCGTAAATCCTTTAGATGATCGAAGGTTTAAGCGACGTGATTAGTCGATTTGGTTCAAACAATGATCGGTGAATAACAGAATAGAGTTCGTAGGTATTTAGCAATCGAATAATTGAATTCTGACGATTTAAAAGATGGGTGATGATGGTTGATTCAACGGTGTAAATTATTGATTTGTTTTTTTTTTGGTACAAGTAGGCCTGTAAACGAACTAAATGCACACGAACGGAGGTATGTTCATGTTTGTTCATTTAATAAATAAACGAACATAAACGAACAATTTTTTTTTTGTTCATGTTCGTTCATTTAATAAATAAACGAACACGAATGAACAAACATAAACGAACAACACAAACACAAAAAAAACTTATTCGAACACAACAAACGAATGTAAAAAAAAGTAAACAACAAGAATAACAACTTAAAATTCATTAATATAACCTGCAACTTTAAATTAATTTGTTCGAAACATACATAAATCATAAATAAGCTATATGAACATAATAAAGTCTTAAAAGTTCAACAAAACAATCTTCTTGAAATCCAAACAACTTCAATAATCTTCGTAACATATTCAACTTGCCCTCTGTTCGAACATAAATGAACATAAATGAACGGACATATAATAGAACGTTCACGAACGTAAATGAACGAACAAGCCATTTATTCATGTTCGTTCATTTAATAAATAAACAACATAAACAAACTTCCCGCCGCACGGTTCATGAACGATTCGTTGAACGGTTCGCTGAATCGCCTCAAGTTCGACCTCCATTCGCATTTCCGCTGGAACAACATCATAACGGATAAGATCCGCTGCATTCGTCCAATCCATCTTTGCGAGCCCATCCGCAACCTTATTTCCTTCCCGTGGAGTAAACTGAAATTCCAATTGCCAATCCAAATCAATCATCATCCGAACATGCGACACCATTGGAGAGTAACATCCCGCAACATCCTTCCTTCGAAACATCTCAATTAGTTCCTTATTGTGACTCTCAACTATCAATCTACGATTATTCCTCTCCCATGCTATGCATAAACCCATATATATTCCCCACACGTCTGCATCCTTCGCCGAGCAGTAGCCTATACGCTTTGAAAAACCCACAATCCAGTCCCCCAATTGATTTCGAATTATACCTCCACATGTTGCAAGGCCTGACTCGATATTCAGTGCCTCATCCGAGTTCAGATTCAACCATCCGTCCATGGGAACTTACCACTTCACATTTCGATGGACCTTTGGAAGGCGAGGACCCTGCTGTTGTCTTCTTCGAACCAGTGCTCTGGCAGTCTCCTCCGTCGGACGAAAGTACGTTGAACAAGTCCTTCGCTTTCAATATAATCCATGTCAAAAATAACCCTATTCCCGCGATTCCAAATATTCCAAATCATCAAACCAAAGAAAAGATCCCAGAACTCTTCCACCACAGGGAAATATCCCGGTTGCCGGAGATCTTTGTCAATCCAGCTAGCCATATAGCCACTCATAAATTCCGCAAGCAACTGAGGTTGGTTTAATAACCTCCCTCCAAGATGCATGAGCCACCCAACATCCCCGAAAAATATGGGACACGCTCTCCACTGAAGCACAGCAAAGAGCACATTTCGAGTCCATCGTTAAATGCCAACGCAAACGCTCTTCATTTGAAAGTAATCTGCCTTTACAGATTATCCAAAGCAACATTCTGATCCGAGGCCAGCCCCTATATGACCGTATAATGTCCCATGGTCTAATGTCTACTCCGACAACATCCACCCTTCTTGCGGTTTAAGCACTCGCCACTGAGAATTGTCGTCTCTTGTTCGGTCGCCATCCAATCAGATCCGGACCATTCGTACATAAAGGAGGCCGAACATCTTGCAAAACCAAACAACCCTTATCCGACAGACACTCCCTTAAAAGCCTCCACATCCACTCTCCATTCCGGCTCACATAACAACAAATCATGATCCCATACATCGGAAGAGTCACATTCGGCCGCAATTGGTGGACAATTGGACCTTGATCCCCTAGCTAATCATGATACCAAAAGTCAATTAAGGTTCTATTTCGAAGGCTCCAGACTACATTCTTCCTAACATCTTTCCATACCGTCGATAAACCACGCCAAAGTCGAGAACAAACCGAGCGATTGATATTCTCCGGGATACCGTCCACGAACCTTATATTTCGGTCGAAGAATTCTCGCCTCATCTCTAATAAGATTGAATGTCATATTCATTAGGAACGCCTCATTTTGACTCTGAATTCTTTTAATTCCTAGATCACCATTCTCAATCGGTTGACAAAGATCATTCCAATTAACTAGATGCATGCCCCGTTTCTCAATCGAACCACCCCAAATAAAATTTCTAATCACATGCTCAATTTCATCACAAACATTCCTCGGGAGGAAACTAGTCTGTGTGATATAAGTGGGAATAGCTGCCAAGACCGCTTTCGCTAAGATAATTCTTCCCGCAAACAAAAGGTGGTGAGTTTTCCAGCCAGCAAGTCGGTCTTTCAATTTCTACCCTATATATATTATACATAGCAGCGTGTGATTACATCACATAAGCCTTTTTTTAATGGAATAATGGGGAGGGTAATGTGATAACCGGAATGAAAATACGGGAGATAAATCGACAAAAAAAAAAGATCTTGTGAGGCCAAACTGATAATTTATCTATAGTTTAGGGGGGAAATATTAAGCCAAAAATCTATATGAAACAGTCAGCATGGGATTTCATTGTGAGAGATTGAGGGAGAGCCACTGTTGTCACTTTCAATTCTCAACAATTTTCCCTTTATATTTTAGGCTAAATTACCTTTTCAGTATTATACTTCTTCTCGTATTTTTGTTTTGATCATTCAATTATTTTTTAAAATAATATCTAATATTAAAAAAAATTTATTTAAAATGAATTTTGTAAAAAAAAATTTCTATTAGCATATAATACGTACTAAAAATGGAAACAAATTTATTATGAATTTCATAAAAATAACTAAGTAGTTATTTAATTAATTTTTTATTTCTAAACGAGGCAAGAAATAATTTGATTTAGTCTTGGGGCAATGTTAAAGATTAATTTTTTTTATAGAAGTAATTAATTTTATTCAAATAATAAATATTTCAAATTCCAATAAAAATTTATAATTACAATCGTAAATTAAGCACATAATTAGAAAATTATGTCAAATCGCCCCATTCGTATCGCCTTTCCACAATTTATTTTTCTTGATAAATGAGTATTACCTTATTGGTTTAAATAAAATTATTTTAAAACATGTATATAAAATTTATATTGGAAGATAGAAAATCACGTGAAAATCCAAAAAAAATGACCTATTATCATCGTCCTTAATTTTTTAACGATGGAATATCAAAATCGAAACAAAACATAACTTTAGATATAATTTTGGGAAAAAAATAATCGAATGACTGAAACAGAAACACATGAATAAGTTGCATATCAAATAGGTAATTTACCCTTTATTTTATATACCTTCAACCTCATATCCTTTTTATTTATTTTTTGGATGAGATATGATAATACACAAAGAAATGCTGAGAAACACACAAAGTGTATGTGGATGAGAGTTCCCCAATGACTCGTAGCAGGATTTGCTCTCAAATCCTCACCTTCAAATGCTCATCCACTCAACTTGTAATTTCCCTTTGTTTTTTTCTCTCTCTTTTTGTATGGTTTATCCATGCTACGTGTACCCCACTGTTTTCTTGTCAACTTTCGGATTCATATATAAACCCTTTGGCATTTTCTTCATTGCCAATCTGTGTCTTCTTTTTCTTGCATTGGGATATATAGTAGAGTTTCTCTCTTTAACTGGTTTCTCTGCATGCACTGTGGTGCATAATCTGGTAACCTAAAGGGTATGCTTTTCTCTTCTTTTATTTCCTTCTATTTTCTTTACTTTGTAGCGATGGTTCTTATTAATGATTCTTCTGTGATTCTCTTTACGTGATATTTCCTCATGTTCATGTTTTTCGTCATACGATTCTGTGTTTTGAATTTGTTTGTCTCACTTCCTGCTTGTGTGATGATACAAAGAAACCGGACTTACCTTGGTTGTTATTTTCTCCGGAAACAAACGAAATATAGTTACCTTATTGAAGGCCTAATAGCAAAGCTCAGCTCGTGTAGTTAATGTTCAGCTCAATCCACCACATATCAGGATATGGCATGAGAGTTTAATCCTCCAAGTATATGAACAAATTAAAAAACTTAAAAAGATTCGAATATATTCGTATCCGTCACTGTTATGTATGGCTCATAAAAAGTCTCGTTGTGGGGTTACGAATTATGTGGGTTGGGGGTGTGGGGGCGCAGCCCCCGCGGTACGGTACATGGTTGATTTTGTAATTATGTACCAGGGTTTTCTATTATAAATAGAGATGTAACCTAGACCTAAAAAGATCATTGAATAAAACTTCTAGCGCCGCCTAGGCACCGAGGACGTAAGCACATTGCCGAACCTCGTAAAATTCTCGTGTTCTTTCGTTTTCTTTACCCGTTTTCGTCAACAATTGGTATCAGATGTCAGGAGCAAAATTCGAAGTCGCGAAATTCGATGGTCAGGGTAACTTCGGATTATGGCAAACGAGGGTGAAGGATC